CTACTGATGGACGAAATCCATTTCGCACCACCCGAGCAACCCTGGAATGATTCGATGCCCCTGTAAATACCGACGAACAAGGGTTTCTCATGGTTTCTAAGTGGTGCAGGATTTTGTCCATCCACAGTATGGCACGCAGATGGCTCGCTGCAGGGCACCTCTGACGAGCAGCGGCGCTTGCTTCGCTGCGGGGCCATTCCGCCGGCTGGCCCAAATTTCGGGACACTGGAAATGGGTCAAACTTAGACTTGTGGATACCGCAGGTTCACTGGACTTGTTTCCTTTTGCTTTGGGGTTATCTACCCTGCTTTTGACCCACACGCTATGGATTTCGCTTTGAATCAGCAAGAGGCAGCCTCTCGAAAGACGCGTGGCTCTGCCCTTTGAGGGCGGGGACCCCGTTTTTGGTAGGTTGCAAGGGAAATTGAAAAGAAACCGAAAGGAGAACCTGCCATTTTAGGGGTACCCTAAAAAACCACCCGCATCTCTAACCTTGTTGTGGCGGCCTTGCCTTTATTCTTCCCGCTTTGCTTATTTTATCGACTCGGACATGTTTTTCTGCGCGGAGTGTGAGGTCTATGGTGGCCACCCTCTTCTTGGATCGCAGCTCTCCCGAGGTGCGTCCGAAGTTCACGTGAGCAAACAAGACAAATACCCCCATTGGCCATGTTGGGTTCTACTAGTTTTCTTTTTGGGGGGGGTCCTGGGACCCTCGATGAAGCATAATAACTATGGTGGAACCAAAAGGCAATGAAGTAGGGGTCACATGGGACCCCTCCCGGGGTCCATGTGAGCTCGTTCCGGGACGTACTTGGCTTCTTTCCGAGTGAAGTTCAGGCAGCGGAAGCGGCGGCCCGCGGGGATACGGCGCGGAGGCGGGCGCAAAGCGCTCCCGGAGGGCGGTGAGTCGTGGGTTCGTTGACCCCATATTCATCAACCGGTTTCGCTTTGGGAGGGGCCCCCATCCCCCTATGAAACTACTGTAAACTGGTTGGTTGATGAATATGGGGTCAACAAATGTAAAGATTGACGTGATTGAAAAGGACCTGCTTGCAGGGAAATGTCATCTCAGCAGAAATTTAAGGGTTCCTACCAAGGGGGTCCTACCGACCTCGGGGCTTGGAATGGAACCAAGGCCGGCGCCTCTCTCGCCGTCTAGCTCCGGCTCTGAGCTGCGCCCAGTTGGTTTGCCGGCTGGATCCATTGGATCAAGCGACGTTCCGCTTGATGGAGGGGGGTTCTTTTGACATAGATGGTGGCCACTACAAGAACCGCCAAGGGCAGAAATGGGCCAAGCAGCTATTGTATGGCCTCGAAAAAATGAAGGGCATATGCCCAGTTCTGCCCGTTGGGTAGTGGTTTTGGGGTAGTGGACACCCGCATAGATAGGAGCTCGTTTCTGTGTGGGGTTGCCATGCAGAATGTCGCAAAAGGCCTTTTTGCAGCTTGAGCAGCTGAGCACATGAGCCATAATCAAAACCCAGGTAAGTGAAGGTTCAGGGACAGTCGCCAGAATGAGTTGCGGCCTTTTTGTAGTTCTTTACATTGGTTCTGGGTACCCTCCCAGCAACTAACACGGAAGTGCACGTTTGGCCCCTTTCCAAGAACAAAAGTCGTGTCTTTCTACAGGGGTCTGGGCACTTCCGTGTTCCTCGGGGGCTAGACCATTTTGATGTCGATCGGTTTTGATTGCGACTCACGTGATGATCTCTTTGCCTTATCGGCGAACTTTTTGGCGCCGTGGCCTGTGGCCTGCCAAGATGGTTGCCGCACTTTTCTGCAAGGGGATACGCACTTCTCGGGGCGTGTCGTTTCTCCTTGTTGGGGCGGGTTTTTAAAGGGAACCACCAGGAGAGACGCCGATGTTCAGGGACGCCGGCACCTTTGAGACAACCCCATACGTTTTTCCCCCAACACCTGGAAGCTTTGGGGTCTCAATTTCCCTGGAAACCTACCAAAAGCGGGGTGCCCTGAAAGGGACCCCTATTTTGAGACAACCCCACCCCATATGTTTTTTTTGGTTCAAACCACGCTTTCCCCTGGCAAGTGGAAGCGGCCGGATCCAAGGAAGGCGAGGATGGCAAGCGGAGCCGTGGGCCTAACTCTGTCGAAGCTCGGAGCCGGAAAAATGTGTTTTAAAATATAGAGAAGCCCCCCCCAAAAAAAATAAAATAAAAAATAAAAATATGGTGGTTTTTCGAATTCCAACTTTCAATTTGCCATTGGGTTCTTTTCTTGCTGGTTCTCCGCAGGGAATGAGGTGGAATGACCCCCATAAACAATCCCCAGAGGGTTTCCGTTGGTATCGGGAATGCCGAAACGGTTGATTCCCAAAACCCGGACTCGGTCATTCCCTACTATCGCACCAGCAAGACAATTCCGGGGCCCATTTTTGGTACCAGAAGGTGCAGCAGGGCCTAAACTGGGGGAATCTTTTTGACACCACCCCAGCTGCAGCCTTCGAAACAGCCATAAACTTGCTGGTGCGATAGGCAGGGAATGAGAAATGGTTTGACCCCTATTATATAAACCCTTCCTTTAAAGTTTCCTTTATACGGGAATTTGCAGGTTCATTCCATGTCTCATTCCCTACCGTCCCCAGGTCTATTCCACAGGATTCCCTCGTTCCCTCAGCCCTTAAGGGAATACCGGAGAAGCTCAGCGGGGAACGAGAAAGGAATGACCCCGAAAAAAAGAAAAGAAAAAACACACATCCCTGAGTGGTTTCCTTTAAGGGAGTTTTTTGGGTTCATTCTCAAATTCCCTACCCGCAAGTTTTCAGGAGTTTTCAGGGGTTTTCAGGGGTTTCCTTTAAGGGAATCCCCAGGTTCATTCACTAAGCACCAGCAAGAAAAACGACACCGGAAACTCCGCGCCGCATTCGTTTTCCGCAGGCCGACACGGCTGCAGAGCCGCGCTGGCGAACCTCGCGGCGCCGGCCTCGGATTCGAGACGAGAGCGCCCGAAGCCGATTTTTTTTCCCGTGGTTCGAGCGAGTGGTTCTGGAGATTGCGGGGTATGCTGCAAAGTGGGGGGACACCCAAAATGGTTGTTAGTTAGTTCATTAGTTCGTTAGTTTGTTTGTTTGTTTGTTTGTTTGTTTGTTTGTTTGTTAGCTAGTTTGTTTGTTAGCTAGTTTGTTTGTTTGGTGTTTTTGTTTTTGTGTTTGTGAGTTTCTTAGATGGTATCCTTTTTGGGCTTGGTTGACAGGCACACCGCCAGAAGTAGCGACGTGGGCCATTGTACAGGCGGCGGCCGAGAATCCCGGCATCGCATCGAGCCTGCGGAACCTGCTGGGCGCGCCTCGCGGAGCTTACGTGCCAGCTGAGCGTCCCCGAGTGAAACGTTAAATGGGTGTGGCTCAAAAAGCTGGAACCCCCAAAAGGGCTTGCCCCGGCAAATGGCTTGCCAAAGACGAAGACCTGCGGTTTGCCCTGGGTCTTGGATTTTTGAGCCACAGCCAAATGGGTATGGGTCAACATTAAACCAGGGATTGGACTGCAGGTTTCAGTTCCTGTCATTTGTCAAGCCATTTTGGGAGTACCCTTTTGTTGACGCAGCCAAATGGACAACACCACATTTTGGGGCTCTTTCAGCAAACCCCTAGATGTTTCTTCGAGGTTGTGAGTTTTGCAGCAGGTGCGCTGGGAGTCGCCAGCATCGCCTCAATCGCGGCAGGCTGTTCTGTGGCGGAGCTGACCCTGGAGAGGCCAAGAGAGTAGTGCTTTCCACTGGGTTGCTCCAGATGTCGAACCTCAAGCAAGAGGAACCTCACTGAGCATCGCCCCAATGAGATTTAAAGACACAAATTGGAAGAAACACGCTGAGAGGAGACTCGCGGAACATCGTGCCAATGATTTAAAGACACTCAAAGGGGAAGGAGAGGGAAATATGGTCTACAGCGCTTCATGTCGAAAGATGGGGCGCTTGGGAGCGCGATGCGAGACTTGTGAAGGCTTCGGCCTTTGGCCTGTCACCAATCCAAGCCTGGTATCGAGCCCCAACCATCCTAAAGAACCAATCAAAGAAACAATGAAGCCGTTGTTTTCGGATGTGTTTTCTTTCTTTCTTTCGTTTCTTTTTTTTGGTGCCCTCTGCAGGTTGAAAGGGAAACTGAAGAACAAAAAATGGGGGTTGAAGCCAAACTGAACAAAACGTGGGTTTTAAGTGCCCATGTTGCGACCGCCCGGCCCGGCGGTTTCTCTGGCTAGGCTGGTCCTGCTGCTCGCTGGCATCCGACGGCGGCCGGCACACAGCTCAGGCCATGCGGGGAAGCCAACAGCTTGGTTTAGAGGGGTCTGTCTCTTTTTTCCTGTTTTTTTGAAAGGGTACTTTTTGTCGGGGTTGGTTTAAAGGGAAACCAACCTGAAAACCACATGGCTGTGGCTCAAAAACATGGAACCCCCAAAATGGCTTGCCCTGGAAAATGGAACCAAAGACTAAAGCCTGCGGTTTGCCCTGGGTCTTTGATTTTTGAGCCACAGCCACATGTGTTTTCCGGGTGCCCTCGATCGATCTTTGGACCCCTGAGCCATGCGAGTCACGATGCCAGGCCATTGGATCGCTGCTTGGTACGACGCCGCAGCCTCGGGTGGCCATGACTTTTTGGAGCAAACCCGAAGAGGGGCTGTTTGGGTGTGGCTCAAAATTAAGCAGCTCGGGTTGTCTTTGTTTCCATTTACCAAGGTGTTTGGAGTTTCTTGAAACGGAACCGGTCCCAGCATCACCCAATGCCCACAGAGCAGGTTGAGCAATCCTGCAAGACATCACTCGGCGAAGTGAGGAGCGGCTACAGGAGTTGGATATGTTGATTCCCGTCTAACTTTCTGTTTTGGACTGGGGCACATCAGGCCACCAGCATCAGCCTCCCGCATGGCCATCCCCGAAAGCAGACATGTTGCCCCGATGCCGATTGCCTTCAGGCGTCTCGATCATGTGCTGCGCAAAGCCTTTTTCCCTGGGGTTGGGGTCGGGTTTTCATTCCTTTCAGACGGAACGCCTTGGAACAGCCGCTGCATCCGACGCGGAGCATCGCCGTCTGACAATGTCGAGACATGTGACTGCCTCGACGGATAGTAGCAAAGATCGTGCAAGTGAAAGTGGGTGGTTCTACCAGGTTTACTCGGGATAGCCGCTATGAACCCTTCTAGCCATGGTCAATGGGTTTATGTTGCGCTCAACGCGCTCAGGCGTTGCTCGACTCGCTGCGCCAGCTGCTGCGCTATGCCAGGTCCCGACTTTTGGAAGCAGCCACTGAGGCTTGGTGAATTCGGGCGCGTGTCACAGGGGGGGACGGGACCCCAAATCGGGGGACCCAAAGGGGACCCAAAGAATAGGGGGACCAGGAATAGTGCGAAGAACACTTGAGGCACAATCAAAACCCGGGTAAGTGCCTTCTTAATTCTTTGCATGATTCTGGGTAGAGCATTTTGATACCAGGATTTGACTGTGACTCACTCTGGGCATGTGTCAAGAACTCGGGGGCCCCAAGAAATGATGGTTGACCCTTTTGGTTTCCTTTGAAACCAAGGTGAGAAGCTTACCTCTTAAAAACACAACTTTTCTCAACTTTTTGGGGGTAACATGGGCTATATATATATATATATATGTCTGTAAAAGATTAGCTTCCCCAATCCTTGGAGTTTTAAGGGGTAAGGCTTAGACCTTGGCCACAGAGCTGATCGCTTGTGCTGATCGCTTGCCGCACAGTGTAAGCCGACCGTCACATCTCTGCAGGTCTCCGATGTATTTGAGAGGCGTGGCAGCCTAGCATGCGTCCCATCAGTGTCTGTTGCCTTGTCTGGTGGAGGGACTTTTGCGCGAGTGTGCTGCACTCCATGCCTCACTCCTCCCAGTCAAAAGATACGGCATGCGGCATACTTGCTTGCCCCTGAATTGGACGTGTCCATAATCTGAATCCTTGCAATGGCTTATGTTACAATCGAAGTCCCAAAGCAGTTCTTGGGGCCCACCAGTTTTTATGATCTGGGGAATCCAGCGACCTCTACAGAAGACAAAGGAACCACCCAAATCCTTAGGTTAGAAGACCGTTTGAAGCCAGACATGGGCTCAGAATCGGAAGCTATTTGTTTCTTTTGGTTTTGAGCTACACCCATATCTTGTCCACCTTGAAATATGTCAACAGATTGTGAAGAGGTTTTATTTTTGAGCCACGCCCCATGTTGTCTTCACCTGCAAAGCGCATAAACAAAAAAAACAACGACAACAACAACAACAATAACAACAACAACGACAACGACAACGACAACGACAACGACAACGACAACCAGAACAAGAACAAGAACAAGAACAAGAACAAGAACAACAACCACAACCACAACCACAACCACAACCACAACCACAACCACAACCACAACCACAACCACAACCACAACCACAACAACAACCACGACGACGACGACGACGACGACGACGACCACAACAACAACAACAACAACAACAACAACAACAGCAACAGCAACAGCAACAGCAACAGCAACAGCAACAGCAACAGCAACAGCAACAGCAACAGCAACAACAACAACAACAACACCAACAACACCA